CATTTCAACATCTGACTTCACCAATACACCACTGATGTTAGCAGTGGTTATATTGGGGAAAAAAACATTTTTCAAAATTTGATTATTAATGCAGCAGTGGTTACAAAGAGTTAATAAAAAAACATTTTTAGATCTGATATTCTTAATACTGCAGACTCGTAAAGGGTTCACAAAATATATTTCAAGATGTGATTATTGATAACATAATAATAATTGTTAATAAAATGTATTCGAGATCATACATTATCACCGCCACACTGGTTATGAAGGGTTAATCAGTATATTTCAAAATCATATGTTTCTGTTACGGCACTGGTTATGAAGGGTTAAAAAGTATATTTCAAAACCTGATATTATTGATACAGCACTGGTTAGAAAGGGTTAATAACTATATTTCAAAATCTGATATTATTGATACAGCACTGGTTATGAAGGGTTAATAACTATATTTCAAGACTTGGCATTTTTTGTGACAAGGCTTTAAGTCTCTTGAAGGTTAGGTTTCAATACCACAAAATATTTAAGCAAATATTCTTACCTTAAATATCTTTTAAAATTTTCACCGAAATGTCAACATTTTCTCGACATGGCTAACCATAAGAAGGCAATTTGTCATCATTTTCTTGGAAAATTCTCTTCATGTTGATAAACTTCTCTGAATATGTTTGACAGAAGGACCAAGAACGGTTGAGGATTTATTAGATGAGTTTTAGAAAGTAATGATGACAGATTGTTAATTATGACTGTGTGTCAGAACGTATTCAGTGGGGTCAAACATAATCGCTTCATTTTTTCAATATGGCCGTCTCATCGTGGAAGATGAAGTGGACATTGAAATGGAGACCATGATTTGATAGTTTCACGACAATGCCTGGAATTATACAACTCATGTCAGGATCCTTTCATTTTGTGTATTTGATCTGATCTGGAACAAATGGCTCGGGGGCTTAGCAAGGTTCTCCCAGTAATCGTTTCATGAAACCAGTAAAACAACATGACTGTCTTTAGTGCTGCTGTTTATCTGACCTCATGATTAGTGCTCTTGTATATCAAGACCTAATGATTAGTACTGCTGAATATCTGATCTCATGATTAGAGCTGCTGTATATCTGATCTCATGATTAGTGCTGCTGTATATTTGACCTCATGATTAGTGTTGCTTTCTATCTGACCTCATGATTAGTGCTGCTGTATATCTGATCTCATGATAAGTGCTGCTGTATATTTGACCTCATGATTAGTGCTGCTGTATATCTGATCTCATGATTAGTGCTCTTGTATATCTGATCTCATGATTAGTGCTGCTGTATATCTGATCTCATGATTAGTGCTGCTGTATATCTGATCTCATGATTAGTGCTGCTGTATATCTGATCTCATGATTAGTGCTGCTGTATATCTGATCTCATGATTAGTGCTCTTGTATATCAAGACATAATGATTAGTGCTGCTGTATATCTGATCTCATGATTAGTGCTGCTGTATATCTGATCTCATGATTAGTGCTGCTGTATATCTGATCTCATGATTAGTGCTGCTGTATATCTGATCTCATGATTAGTGCTCTTGTATATATGATCTCATGATTAGTGCTGCTGTATATCTGACCTCATGATTAGTGCTGCTGTCTATCTGATCTCATGATTAGTGCTCTTGTATATCTGATCTCATGATTAGTGCTGCTGTATATCTGATCTCATGATTAGTGCTGCTGTATATCTGATCTCATGATTAGTGCTGCTGTATATCTGATCTCATGATTAGTGCTCTTGTATATCAAGACATAATGATTAGTGCTGCTGTATATCTGACCTCCTGATTAGTGCTGCTGTTTATCTGATCTCATGATTAGTGCTGCTGTATATCTGATCTCATGATTAGTGCTGCTGTATATCTGATCTCATGATTAGTGCTCTTGTATATCAAGACCTAATGATTAGTACTGCTGTATATCTGATCTCATGATGAGTGCTGCTGTATATCTGACCTCATGTTTAATGCTGCTGTATATCTGACCTCATGATTAGTGCTGCTGTATATCTGACCTCATGATTAGTGCTCTTGTATATCTGACCTCATAATTAGTGCTGCTGTATATCTGACCTCATGATTAGTGCTCTTGTATATCTGATCTCATGATGAGTGCTGCTGTATATCTGACCTCATGTTTAATGCTGCTGTATATCTGACCTTCTGATTAGTACTGCTGTATATCTGATCTCTTGATTAGTGCTGCTGTATATCAGATCTCTTGATTAGTGCTGCTGTATATCTGACCTTCTGATTAGTACTGCTGTATATCAGATCTCTTGATTAGTACTGCTGTATATCTGACCTTCTGATTAGTGCTGCTGTATATCAGATCTCTTGATTAGTGCTGCTGTATATCTGACCTTCTGATTAGTACTGCTGTATATCTGATCTCTTTATTAGTGCTGCTGTATATCTGATCTCTTTATGAGTGCTGTTGTATTTGTGATCTCATGATTAGTGCTCTTGTATATCTGATTTAATGATTAGTACTGCTGTATATCTGATCTCGTCATTAGTGCTGCTGTACATCTGATCTCGTCATTAGTGCTGCTGTATATCTGATCTAAACTTACAACCTCAACAGGTACTCTCCCATGGGCTTATAACTGAAGAGATTACAGTACTAATTCTAAGACCAACTAAATCCTCACAGGCCCATTAAATACCAGCAAACGCAAGAACAAGGATAACAAGTCTCATGTGATTTCTCAAATGAAAAATCCTTGTTGGTGTATTAAAATCTCCCACAATAAGAAAAGATTACAAGAAGGTCATGTGTGAGCGTGCCACATCCAAACTGTCCCAAGGACGACTGCTGTCCAGATCATCTCGCTGTAAATCTGGATTTTGTCGCTTTCTTTACAAAACAAAAATACCTTTGGAACATTCCACAAGAGGCTTACATGTTGTAAATTTCTACGTGTCTGAATCTAGGATTTAGGACTGGCCATGCAAGGGACATAATATCTACAGTCAAGTCTCGTTAATCAGACACTAGACTTTATCCGACACTATTGATGCGAACCGATGACACCTACTGACTTTTTAAGCAGAGACTGAAAAAATATTTTGTCTCATGCCACAGCAACCATCCCACAGTACACTAAATGGTGGGTCTATTTGTTAGGGAGGCAGTGGAGTAGCCAAGTGGTTAAAGCGTTCGTTCGTCACGCTGTAGACCCGGGTTCGATTCCCCACATGGACAAAATGTGTGAAGCCCATTTCTGGTGTCCCCCGCAGTGAGTGAGTGAGTATGGTTTTACGCCGCTTTTAGCAATATTCCAGCAATATCACGGCGGGGGACACCAGAAATGGGCTTCACACATTGTACCCATGTCGGGAATCGAACCCGGGTCTTCGGCATGACGTGCGAACGCTTTAACCACTAGGCTACCCGACCGCCCCTTCCCCCGCAGTGATATTGCAGGAATATTGCTAAAAGCGGCGTAAAACCATACTCACTCACCCACTCTTTAAGTTGGGTCTGTCCACATATTTCATGCACCAAAGCTTCGACTACCTTGCACTAAGCAAGAGTAATAATCTTCATGTCTTTCTTGTCTCAAAGGATAAAACTCTTCTTGAAACTCTGATTGATGTTTTTGTCTTTGATTGTAACACCGTGTGACAATATGATGGAACGTTCTTCAAAGCACTGCTGTTTTTTAAACATATTGAGAAACATAAATCCTCATGACTCTGTTGGGATTCACAAGTTTTTTCATTGGGACAGAAGCAAAAATAGAAGAATCTTTATAAGGTTTTCTTGTCTGTTTCCGTGACAACTGACATGCATCCAACAAAGAGACACAGCTTCTGGTTCGGGATAGGTACCCAGCACCCAAAGCATGTCTTGCAAACTGCGATGATATTTTGTTTGTTGTTGTTGAATGTTGTTCCAGCTACATGACGGCCGTTTGTAAACAAACAAGTCTGGACCAGGCAATCCAGTGACTAACATCATGAGCACTAATCAATGCATTTGGGATACGAAGACATGCATCAACAAAGTCAGCGAGCCAGACCACCCAGTCTCGGTAATCACCTCTTACGACAAGCCCTGGTTGCTGAAGAACAATTCTTTGCCTGATCTTCACAGGGTGACAAGCATGAGTTGCTGAAGACTAATTCTAACCCGGATCTTCACAGGGAGACAAGCACTGGTTGCTGAAGAACAATTCTAACCAGGATCTTCACAGTGAGACAAGCATTGGTTGCTGAAGACCAATTCTACCCAGGATCTTCACAGGGAGTCAAGCATTGGTTGCTGAAGACCAATTCTACCCAGGATCTTCACAGGGAGTCAAGCATTGGTTGCTGAAGACCAATTCTACCCAGGATCTTCACAGGGAGTCAAGCATTGGTTGCTGAAGACCAATTCTACCCAGGATCTTCACAGGGAGTCAAGCATTGGTTGCTGAAGACCAATTTTACCCAGGATCTTCACAGGGAGTCAAGCATTGGTTGCTGAAGACCAATTTTACCCAGGATCTTCACGGGGAGGACAAGCATGGGTTGCTGAAGACTAATTCTAACCCGGATCTTCACAGGGAGACAAGCATGGGTTGATGAAGACCAATTCTTACCCGTGAAATCTGAGGTTCAAACCCAAGATCATATTGGCTTCAATTCTTTGGCATAAAATCCCATGTAGCCTTACATCATTTCAGCCCAAGGCCAATCACTACTTTTACAGATCATTTTTAGTCAACTGGAAGCATAATAATAAAAATAAATGTCATGCAGGTTGATATGAAATTAACTTCCTAAAATTCCTGAAACAAAAGTATTAAAACCATTTTTCTTAAAAATAACCATATTTTCACAGCATGTATTTTGGAAGTGATTTTGCAAACCGGACAGCAAGCATAAAACAAGATGCAAATTAGTCAGGCCTAAGGCAGGATGAGACAAGATACAAATTAGTCCAGCCTAAGGCAGGATGAGACAAGCAGTCACCCACTCACCTTCCGTTCCAAGGCCAGGGCTGGAAGTGAACTTGGCGACATCCACGATCTTGACGGCAAATTGTTGGGCGGTCTCCTTGTGGAGGCATCTCCGTACCACACTGAAAGGCCCCCTGAAACACGATAATTTACACATGAAACGAGGGTCTGGGCCTCATCCTTAAAACAGATTTATCTCTGATAATAATACAGTGTGTTCTTGTAATACTAAAGGATTTTTTTATAGCTCATCAATCCTGAACCCGACTCCTGTGCCTTGTATAAATCTTGTGCAAGACAATGACCAGTTGTAGGAGTGAACAATACAACAAGCTCCGATCTTCTACAGATCTTGTTTCATTTCCCCCATGCCGTATTGACCTTAGCATGTACCAGGAATAAGTGAGTGAGTGAGTGAGTTTGGTTTTACGCCGCTTTTAGCAATATTCCAGCAATATCACGGCGGGGGACACCAGAAATGGGCTTCACACATTGTATCCATGTCGGGATTCGAACCCGGGTCTTTGGCGTGACGAGGGAACGCTTTAACCACTAGGCTACCCGACCGCCCCACCAGGAATAAGAAGTATCGCCATACTTCAAGGTGGACAAGTTCCATTCCTTACTTCAGGTATGGCTGCTTTTTAGTTCGATCCCACATCAAACCAGGGCTCAATTTAGCTATAAAACATGCACAATGCAAATTACTATTGAAAAATGCAACCTGATATTTATGTCAACATGCAACAAGTGTAAGTAAAAATAACTATAAATTTGCATCTGACCAACCCTACATGGCCACACAAAATCCATCTTTGAACACACCCAATACCTCTAAAGTTTATTTACCATACCACATAACTAATCCCTGTGTTATGTGTACTTTGTCATGCTTCCTTGAGCTTCATGTCATCAAACTGTGGGTTCTTCAAGATTATGTACACATGTTCCTGTTACGTTTTACAGCAATACATCATTAGCGAGTGAGTGAGTTGGGTTTAACGCCGCTTTTAACAGTATTCCAGTTATATCACGGCGTGTCAGCTTATGTGGGAGGAAAGCCCGAAGTGGTGTAGGTCTCAGACGTTTACCACTTCGGTAAAAAAAACCACGAGCACGGGTATGGTGCTGACAAACCTAGAAACAAAATTGGGGTGAACAGGGATTTGAACCCACAATCATAGGTTTCTGGCGTGCCTAAGGGATGCTGACACCAGTGAAAGCTCCCCATTGTGATAGGTGGCCCCAACCATGCTTGGAGTTGAACTCACAACAGACCGACTGCTATGTTTACAAACAATTGATGACTGCCGTCTGCCAATCTGATCAATCCCAAAAAAGGTAAATTTATCTGGGAAATATGGTCAGTCGTAAACCTTTTCAAAATTCACTATGATGGCATTTCCATAGACATAAACAAAACTATAAACGTTACTGCATTTGGGATTAGAGGGCAATTTTCCAGATTCTTGTAATGGCCGTGCCCACACTGGTGGCAGCGATGTTACCGAGAGTGTAACGAAGGTGTTACACGCTGGGAAGGAGCTTGTAAAACTAAATGTGTTTAAAATCAATATCATGGCATATATCTTATCCTTTCTTAAATCATGATGTGAATATCATACCAATCTTCACTCAGATCAATACACATATACTGCAAAGCTTTCCATTTTCAATACAGATTAATGAAAGATGTATTTCTGACTTTGAATCAAATTAGATGATGGCATTTCTTAAAGGGCAGCAAGAGCAGCCATTAACCTTAGAGTTTCCGAGTGTTTCTCGGACACGGACACAGAAGACATAGTGAGTGGGTGAGGAGGTGAGGTGAAATGGGGTTTAACGTCGCGTCCAAGATTATTGCACTTATATAGCGACGTGCATGTACGTGTGTGTGTTTGTGTGGCTGCTTGTACTAGTCTGGACTGATGCCGATTTATAGTGCTAGCTCACTGAGATACCATGCCGCAGTTAAACATGAATACCCCACTCAGACACAGTATACTGACTCCGAGCCGACCAGTCCTTGTTTTAGCCCCTTAATGCCGAGCGCCAGACAGGGTAACAACAAATACCATCTTTTAATGTCTTTTGGTATGACGTGGCTGGGGATCGAACCCCGGACCTTCCGCTCTCCGGGCGAACGCTCTACCACTAGACCACGGAGGCGGTCCGAGTGGGTGAGGAGTTTGGCTTAACGCCGCTTTTAACAGTATTCCAGTTTCAAAATGTGCATCATGATGTCAGCTTAATGTGGGAGGAAAGCCTGAAGTGATGCAGGTCTCTGACGTTTACCACTTCGGTGAAACCCACGAGCACGGGTATGGTGCTGACAAACCTAGAAACATAATTGGGGTGAACCGGGATTCAAACCCAGAATCAGTTTTTAGTGTGCCCAAGGGACGCAACTCTGCAGAGCAAACTGTTATGTGCTGTGTTGTACACATGTCTGGATAGTCATAGACAACTCAGATTAAAACTTCAGCGTTTATTACAACTTGCAAGGCAGACATATGCCAAGGGAAGCAACTCTTACAACAAGACTGCATACCACGTAACACAAACTGAGGCGCACTTAAAATTTGTCTCCAGCAATATAAACATTTTTGAGGGGTCCATTTATTGCTTATTATTAGGCATGAAATGACACACCAAACCTCTAAATTACCTTGCTACATGGCCTTAGATGCGATACATGATACATTCAGATTGTACCACAATACATGTGGAAACAAAATACAGATTTTTTACTTTACAAAAGAAAAAATAAATTGTATTTTATTCAATGACATTTGACTGGCTCACCACAGAAAAAAAATCAGTTATGTTCACAAAAACGAAAAAAATAATTAATCCACATTCACTACTGGTCTAAACTTTTCTGATTGGTTGATAAGGATTGGCAGGACTGAATAATATCACTGATTTTGCATTGTTGTCTTCAGTTTTTTGTTTTCATGATTACAAAAGCAGTTTTTGAAGTTATTTATTTATAAGAATTGCCTTAAAATCTGTGTTTCCATTTATGGAGGTATAAACTTAAAAATAAGTGTGCACATTGTGTCAATCTGTGTACATTTATACCGCCATGAGATGTATATAAGGATAAACATGAGCTTCTTAAACCAACCGTGTCCTTCAAATCGGATCATTTGAGATTCCATTGTCTCAGAACAGTTACCAAGGAAGAAAAAGTCGGTCAACACTTTTTCACTTTTCTGGAATAGCTCGAGTCTTGTAGTTTATGACCTTTGTGTTGTAATTCCTGGGTGTCGTATTATCATCAGTGTATGGAGATACATATCATATTGTCATCAGTGTATCGAGATACATATATTGTCATCAGTGTATCGAGCATCATGGCCAGAGTATCAAGATAGTATCATATTGTGAACAGTGGATGAAGAGCGTATCATGTTATAGCCTTACATAACGTTGCACCCCTACAAATGCCGAGTGAATATGACATTTCCAATATGAGAGCAATAATCTTGAAAAGCGACCTTCATCCCATTTTCACAAAGTTTGAGATTTATTGTTGTTTCAGGTTACCGTCAGCGATGTTCCAGCTTTATGATGCTGTAAATGGAAACAGTGTCACAAGACCAACGACCACAATGACGAGGCGACACATCATCACATCACCTGACCACCCGATCCCCACTGTAGCTGGGTCTCACCAAAAGCAGCATAGAGGTGGAGAACAAATAATTAAATGTTCATTTTGTTCATTCTGATTAGCTGAACTGGCCACGTGTTATTGCATTCAATGGCCCAATCAATGGAAAAATTAAGCCACGCCCACCATAGGGAAATACTTCTATTACTTCACAGATTCATACTGTTCACACCTCAAAGAACAAAAAACAATCCAGTCAATCCTGAAATGTATTTTTTTCAGATATTTGCACATTCCATATATTACATGGTAATTAGCTGACCAGGGTGCCACTCTACAAAACAACCTTAGCGCTACAACTATCATAAGTCTATGTTAAGGTATGGGAGTTACGATCACCTTAGCGCTAAGGACCGCCTCCGTGGTCTTGTGGTAGAGCGTCCGCCCGGAGAGCGGAAGGTCCAGGGTTCGATCCCGGGCCGCGTCATACAAAAAGACGTTAAAAGATTGTACTTGTTGTTACCCTGTCTGGCGCTCGGCATTAAGGGGCTAAAACAAGGACTGGTCGGCTCGGAGTCAGTATACTGTGTCTGAGTGGGGTATTCATGTTAAACTGCGGCATGGTATCTCAGTGAGCTAGCACTATAAATCGGCATCAGTCCGGACCAGTACAAGCAGCCACACACACACATACACGTGCATGCACGTCGCTATATAAGTGCAATAATCTTGGACGCGACGTTAAACCCAATTTAACCTCACCTCACCTCACCTTAGCGCTAAGATCGCTTTGTACAACGGCCCAAGGGATCATAATCTACTTTGTAAAGGATATACCTTGGGGAAAGGCTGGCGCATAAACAACATTCAGCTGAGGTGAACACGTCACAGAAGCCAATGCTTTTTGTTTTGTTTGTTTGTTTGTTGTTTAACGCCGCACTCAGCAATATTCCAGCTATATGACGGTGGTCTGTAAATAATCGAGTCAGGACCAGACAATCCAGTGATTAATATCATGAGCATCGATCCACGCATTTTGGGATCGATGACATGTATCAACCAAGTCAGCGAGCCTGACCACCCGATCCCGTTAGTCGCCTTTTAAGACAAGCATAGTCGCCTTTTACGGCAAGTATGGGTTGCTGAAGACCTATTCTACCCCGGAATCTTCACGGGTCCAGAAGCCAATGATGTTATGAATCCCAGCGACACCAGCAATGCCAGCTGCTCATAATCTAATCACTGAAGACAATACACGCGACTAATCCAAGCAATGTCTGGTACACATCCAATCAGTTGCCAACAATGCTAATGAACGTTCGGAGACCTCGTGACCTTGTGTGTCAACAATTGGAGTCCTCATCTTCAGTTAACCCAACCTGCATCGTTGGAATATTTGCTGCAGTTGGTATTTTCTTCTGTTCCCTTCACAAAAGTGAGAGATCACACGACAAGGGGAGACAAGGATGTTTTTTCGAAAAGTAAACACCATTATTCGAACAAAATTGATCATAA